CGTGAGTTGTCCGTGCTATTGTTATCATTGATATTTGCATATACGGCGTGACAAGGTGGGATATATATATATATATATATGTGTGTGGGTGGGGGGGGGGGTTGGCGTATGTGGTGAGACAAGATGGGAATAATATTATGCGCATGCGGTGAGACAAGACGGGCATTTACTTTATTGTTGCACACGTGGCGAGACAAGATGGGCTATATCGGGGATGATTTGTGATGGCCTGGGGGCATTGTTATTGATGTTAATTGTGTAGTGGTGTGCCTACCTTGTGTGAATTATGCAATTTAAGTTTCGCGATGTTGTTTCCTATGTGTCATTCATTGTCACTGCTCTCACTTGTTGACTCGAGTTGTGATAGAACACTTGCACAAGCATACACGTAGTTAATCACTCATATCGGTTTAAGATGATGAATCCTAATGTTTATTGATCATTTACATTTATCCTCGTTTACTTGCCCTTTGTGTGAGAGTTGTACCATTGACACATGAGTTGTCCGTGCGGATATGAGATATTGTCACTCCCTTAGCACGTGAGTTGCCCGTACAAATATGATGTATTGATGTACTGGCACGTGAGTTGTCCGTGCAGCACGTGAATTGTCCGTGCGATTGTGAATTGTAATGTGGGAACAAGATGCCAAGTGATTGGGATTTGTGAATTGAGACCCATGAATTGTGATTATGAGGTGTGGTACCTCGGAAAAATTCTTGAATAGATCATGTGTGAAAGCGGTTGTTCTTATGGAGTTGTTACTTATTCTCCTTACTTGGTTTCACCGGATTTAAATTGTATTCAGCTTACCCTACGGTATTATTACCAGTTTGTTCCTTGTTGATAATTATTGCTTCTAGTTTTCTGTTGCAAGTATTATTGTCGTTTACCATGCTTAGCTTTATATTGGTATTGTTCCTTGTTAGTTTCATGTTTATACCCGTATAGGTTATTATGTCTAGTAGGTGTCTTGACGGTTTCTCGTCACTACTCCACCGAGGTTAGTCTTGATACTTGCTGAATACCGTTATGTGTACTCATGATACGATTTCTGCATATTTTTGTACAGATCCAGGTACATCGAAGTTTGTTGATCATTAGCTAGCTACTCGGGTATTGCTACGGAGACTTCAAAGTATACATGCGGTCACATTCGCAGGTCGCAGAGTCACCTTCTGAAGTTTGTTGTGTACAGTTTATTTCAACTCCGGAACAATCGTACTTAGAAAATTCCTAGTGAACTCGGTAGAGCTTATGACTTGTACTACCGATTTTGAGATATTGTATTATACTCAGGATTGTTGGCTTATTATAGAAATTTCTATTTCATGCTTAATAATTGTTTCTAGTTAAACTTTGTTATTAATCTAGTAAGTGTTAGGCTTACCTAGTCTTAGACTAGGTGCAATCACGACATCCTACGGAGGGAAATTGGGATCGTGACAAGTTGTATTAGAGTTCTAGGTTCATAGGTGCTACGAGTCATAAGCGAGTTTAGTAGAGTCTTGAAGATCGGTACGGAGACGTCTGTACTTATCTTTGAGAGGCTACAAGACTATTAGGAAAACTTCAGTTCTTTCATCCTATCGTGGATATACACATGATACATATTTGATACAAATGTGATACATATCTGATACACAAGTGATACACATACCATTTTTTCATGTTCATCTTCTACTTCAATTTTTCAATTCAAACTACCTCAAAACTACACCAAATCATCCCTAAACTGAGACTCAAGCTCCTTAAGATGTACCCAATCTATTCTAATAACACCTACTCAAAAGAAAGCAAAAATTTAACTTTGTTTGCTCCAAATAACTAATTGACTAATATTAGTAATATTTTATGAATTGGTCAATCTTTATAATAAGCTATTTATAAATGGACATAACTAGTATTTTTTCATTATTTTTCCAGTACATTTAAGTTCTCAACGGTTGCAAACTAGATGTTTGAGCCGTATATATGGGAAATTGACATTTATGATGATTCATAGATTCCCTTGATTATATTCTTTTAATGGGTTTTTGTTTTTATAATTAATTGCTAAATACTTAAATCTAACAACTATTATCGTTAAAGTTTCATTTTCTGAAAAAAGAAAAAAGAAATAATGACGATTATGGTGAGAAATTAAAAAATAGTCAGATTTATAAGTGGTCGTTCAAAAATAGCCCAGTTTCAAAAGTAATCAAAATTTAGCCATTTTTCATGTAAAGATAAATCTGAATGAAAGCACTATTCGAAATATGGAAAAATACTCCAGCATAATATACTGGAGTTCCAGTATAAGTCTAATATACTGGAGTTTGGAGCACCGGTGCTCCAGTCTCTAGTATATTATACTGCCGCTCCAGCATAATATGCTGGAAGTTCATACACAGTTGCACCGAACTCCAATATATTATGCTGGACCGGTCTATGTTGCAACAAAATAGTTGCTATTTTTCATTAACTTGGTAAAAGCTGACTAATTTTGAATGATCAATCCGAAAACTGGCTCGAGCGTGCCATTTTTACACGATTATGCGATTCGGCCCACAAGTAAAACCCAAGGTAGCCCAAATTCAAAGCCCAACAAAAATCCCTAATTTAATTGCACGTTCTCCCTCTCTGCCCTTAAAACCTCGAGACTTACGCTTAGGGTTTCTCTCCAATACAGTAGAAGCCAGAGCAAGCATAAGAACATGGCAGCAGCGGCAGCGGCAGCGGCAGCGGCGGAATCAGTTCAATGTTTTGGGCGGAAGAAGACGGCGGTAGCAGTAAGCCACTGCAAACGCGGGAAAGGCCTGATGAAAATCAACGGTGTTCCGATCGAGTTAGTCCAGCCTGAAATCCTCCGTTACAAAGCCTTCGAACCAATTCTCCTCTTAGGCCGCCACAGATTCGCCGGAGTCGACATGCGGATCCGCGTCAAAGGAGGAGGACACACTTCACAAATCTATGCTATTCGTCAATCGATAGCGAAGGCGCTCGTTGCATTTTACCAGAAGTATGGGGATGAGCAGTCGAAGAAGGAGATTAAGGATATTTTGGTTAGGTATGATAGGACATTGCTTGTAGCTGATCCTAGACGATGTGAGCCTAAGAAGTTTGGTGGTCGTGGTGCTCGTGCTAGGTTCCAGAAATCTTACCGTTAGATTTCTTTTATATGCTTCTTCTTTACTGCTGATGATGTTGATCTTTTTCATACTTCGGTTTAGAATATAATTATGTTTTGGATTAATTTTTTTATTAAATGAATGCAATTTGATGTGTTAAATTCATGCATAAGTAGATGAATCATGAATTAGATTCCTTTATGTTGAATATGTGTTTGGCAATTTGATCTTGCATTTAACTTTGTTCTTACCATCAGTAAGAACAGATTTTTGTGTGCAATTGCCATGTTTTTAAGTTGTAAACATAACTATACAGTCGAAAATATTGATAGTCAGTAGCTCTAATGAGAAATACGGTTGGTAGAATAGTTCCCTTAAGATTTCTGTTAAGCTTGTTTGTGTGTATATCTTCTTGTCTGTAGCTTTTAGATTCTTGATTCATAATTGGTTTTTGTAAATCTTTCTTGCCTGTATCATCTCAGTAAAACTAACAATAGATTCCATTCTTCTGCATATAGCATCTCCACTTCTGAAGCTAAAACATAATTTATTCATAGCATCTTATGGGTATTTCTTAGATCAGAACACCATATTTTGGAATAAGGCAGGGTTGCCCTGTTTTATTAATACCGAAAATTGTTAGTTGTAGCAATAGTGGCATTTCATATGTGAAGTTTAAGATGTTATAGTGAAGCTCTTTTTTTTCTACGAATAAATGTCTTGAAACATCCAAATGAAGCTGGTAATCCAGCTTATGTAATGCTACATAACTGTGAACCGTTAATGTCTGCAAATTTTCCTCCTTAGTGGCTTCTTGTTGCATTTTGACTTTTATCCAATAGTTCTGTCATCTGGGGTTGTTTCATCACATAATTTTGCTTGTCCACTCTCTTTTATAGCCAAAGCACTCACATTTAGCGGCCTCTCCTTCTCTACCTACAGTTTGCTGTCCTATTCAAGTTTAGCTGATAATTCCATTCTCTCTTATTAGTGATATATCCCGATGAATTTGATAATCCACTTTTTGTGTTAAGACTGTTACAAAACCGTGAAACGGTTAATGTCCACAAAATTTCCTCCTCAATGGCTTCTCAATGTGAACCCCGAACTTTGAAATTTGTTCAACAATTCTACCCGATCTAGGTTGTTTCAGCACAATCTTGCATATCATTGCATTAAACTTGTATTTAGCGTTCTCTCTTTCTCTACCTACAGTGCGCTGTCCTATTATTGTTTCGTTCATCTGTGGTTCTATATTTAGGAATTGTAATGTAGCAAAGAGCTATTTGCGTATATGGTGGTATTACGATTATAAGGCGCTTCTGACATCCAAAACCTTTATCATGATGTACTTTTGATAGTTTACCTAGAATACATCTCGAACATGACCTCCTTTAGAAAGGAGAAAATTTTATTACGTTATTTTTTCCGGCCTTTACTGGCTATCTGTTTCTTACAGATTATGGACTTCAGTAGTCTATTCTCTTATTTTACTCCTGCAGTCCGCCAGTTTGAGTTTATTGTAAGTGAATTACATGGCATTTGCCTGTATGTACTGAATGGTACCCTTTTTAAAGGGAAAGGGTCAAATTTCCGGTACTATCCAAATTTAAGCGACTTTGGCATGTGTAAAACTTTTGGTCTAATATATTACCTCTGCCACTAGGAAAGTCTTGTTTTTACCCCTAATGGAGCTAAAACCTAAGGGTAATTTTAGACCATTGTCAAAAGTTGAGTGATAAATTCACATATTTTTTTCTCAGAATTTGGACACATGAGGTGCATCCACTTTACGCTAAAGCTCTGTTAATGATAATGGCAAGAAAGAGATGATTTGCCTCCCAAAATTGTAAGGTTGTGGAAACACAGACCCATACTTTTCAGCAAACGTGAAGAAAATAATATTAAAGTTTACTATTGTCAATTCATTGTACAAATTAGCGAGCAACATCATAGAAATAATTTGGTCCAGGAGTACTCTTATCTAGAATTCTCTTGTCTAAGGCATCCGAGAGTGTGGCCTAGGGGTCAATAAAGTGGGAGAACCATGAGATTTTATGTTCAAACCTCAGTAGAGGCAAGAAACACTAGGTGATTTCTCTCATATAAGGTCATTATATTATTATCCTCTATCTTGTTTTCATACGTCAGTCTTAGAGACAAAAATGAGATGAACTATGTTATGTGGCAGTGCACTCTGGTGGTAGGACTTTGTATCTCCTAGTATCTTGGCAATACGAGTAAAACATATGCTTCCTCCTTGCCCAGTCCAACCCCATCATTTGCTGCTGTGACAGCTTGACAAATTCTTCTCCATCAACCGGATCCAAACTTGATGTGCTTCTCCTAGCACATGCAGTAGCTGCTGATCCGTTTTGCTCGCTTACACACCCTTCTAACTCTACTCCTTTTATTGATGTTACAAACGGGGCGTAAGTATAATTTACTGGGTATTTCCCTCCGCGAGTTGCCCATTGTGATCCATCCCATATTGTCACATAAATGGACATCGGCTTTGATGGGTAAACAGAAGAGATTGCAGTATTATGGACAACCTCTCTTACTGGCACATTGTCCACCAGAAATCTGCAGAAGTTCACAGACAATTGTTATATTTAGAACCAAGGTAAATGGAACTCATAAAGTACTCAATTTTTTTTTCACTGGCTTACAGAATGTGATGATTGTTCCAGAGAATAGTGTAGTCATGGAAATCTTGTGTTGGATCAAACCAGAGGTAGAACTTCCCTTCCCTCCCTGTGCTGACACTTCCATTTCCATAATTATTGGTTTGTAGAACCCAATCCCTTCTCTTATCATACCCAAGCAATTCAAAATCTAGTTCATCATGGTCGTGTGGGAAAATATTTTGATTAGAAAGCTGAAAATGGGAAAAAAGCTCTTGCATTATGCTTCAAATAAAATAGAAATTATGATTCATAATACTGTGGGATATGCAAGAAACTTACATAAAAAGCAACTACCACTCCCGATGTAAAATTTGCAGGCAGCTTTAGTGCAGCATTGAAGAAACCATAGTAGTATTTGTCTCTTGAGACTAGTCCTGAACCTATGGAGGGACCAAGAAGACAAGGAGTTAATTACTTCAGTAGTTTAAACTTGAGCAAAGCATTTCTCATATTATGATGTGGGAGTCTACCTGAAGATTTATCTAAGATAAGATCAGCACTGGACCCATTGTTCGTTAGACGAACATTAACACCTCCAAAAAACATATTATATCCCTGATTAACGGATAATCTACTGAAACGATCAGTTAACCGCTCAACCTCTGGAGGAGTATAGATTGGACCTAGAGATGAAGCCACAGATATCATGCAGAAAATCAAGAACTCTGATAATAAGAGTGTGTTGTGCTGGTGAAAGAATTCCATTTCTTTCTTGTTATGTTATGTATATGAATCAAGGAAAATGTGGGGCAAAACAGGGCTATTTATCAGAGGAAACCTTAACTTTTTTAAGTTGTAGCAAGCTGGCTGTATCTTTGAAGAATTCTGTTAAATAGGGTGACTTTAATTTGATTCTTGGATGGGAAATGTGGACAGTGATTGAAAGTTCATGTGCAGTGGAGAAAAACATGTTCTGGAAAAGATCCATCATGTTCAAGATTAGTTCAAGTGGAGGCCAGGCTAAGAAAAGTAGTCCTTTTCACTCGAACGGTGAAAAGAATCATTCTTAAAGCATAAAAGGTTTGGCTTTTTTTTGTTGAATTTTTAGGTATTTTTTTGTTGAATTTCTAGAGTTTGGCTCTGATCCCATAGAGCGGAGGCGATTTCTGGGTTTCTATTAGAGCAAGTCTACGAGTAAGGGTGTTAATAATTCGGTTCGACGCTATTTTATAAAATTTGGAACATATTAATCTCGGTTTCTCTTTTGTTCGATTAATTTTCGGTTTGTTTTTTAATATGTTATAAATCATACGAGCGGAGATATTAGTCAAGTCAAGACTCAAGAATAAAATCTATTAGAAGATGAAGTATCCAACAAGAGTAGTAAAATAGGAATAGAGTTGAGATTTTAGGTGTTAATTATATGTTGACTTGTAGTCGTTTCCATAATCCTAAGGCTTAAAGCTTTGTTATTTTTAATCTCAAATATATAAAATATGTTTTTCACGTAGAAATTATTCGGCATGGTTCGATATTTATTTGGTTTCTTTTTATAAAAGAAAAATCTATCCTGATAATGTTATATACATTGTAAATTTATATAGAGATTTATAATTTTATTTAACAAACTTAATAATCGGTTCAATACGATAAGATCGATTTTATCTTCTTAAAGGACACCCCTATCTACTAGTAGTATATAAGTTGGCGGCTACAGGACACAAAAGATATACAGAAAAATCTAGTGGAACCACTGCAGTCACAACTAAAATCATGATTGCCTAATCAGTTGTAAACTATGTTTATCTGCATTTCAAACAGCTGTTTGATTGGTAAGGTAATTGAGACAATCACGGCGCCAAGTGCTCCAATTTGCAACCAACTTTTTATTAATTTCACTTTATTTTAGGTAATGGTGGACAAATGCAACTAGTAGCCATGCATAATTGTTTGAATTTCCGTTGTTAAATCATTTATTGAATAAGTTAACTTCAATGTACTTGTAGCGTAAAGAACACTTACGCAATCAGACTATCTTTAAAGGTAATGAAACTATGTTTAATAGATTCACAACTTAAAATAAATACTCCCTCTATTTATGTGATGCAATTAGAATTTCAAAAGTCAAAACGAGTTTTTCTTTGATCCCAATTTTTTATATATCTTTTAAATGTTTTTAATTGTTATTTATTGTGATTTATATTAATTCTATGTAGTTTCTAAATATGTATATTTTATTAAAAAACTATAAGATTCTATATTTGAATTTACGATTAAAATTTAAAAGTTTGACTCATGAAATCTGATCGTAGCACATAAACTGAGACGAGGAGTAGAAAATAGCCTGATATAACAGGTTAAATAGTAAGACCTACAACAATAACAAACCAAGTAATATCCCACAAGTGGGGTATGGGGAAGGTAAGATGTACACAGCCTTACCCCTACCTCTGGAGGGGTAGGGAGATTGTTTTCGATAGACCCTCGGCTAGAGAGCGACTGAAAAAGAAAAGGTGATTGCAATAATTAGGAAGAATAGCAAGATGAAATAATATTGTATCCAAGAATGCAGTCAAACTCTAGGTATTAATAGTCATCTATGGATAAAAAATATCATACTAACACTAATACTAGCGAACTGAGTAAGATAAAGAGAAATACTCGACTACCTACGAACCTTCTTAATCTTTGACCTCAACACCTCCTGTCTAGGGCCATGTCCTCAGTCAGCTCCAGTTGCGCCATGTCCCGCCTAATAACCTATCCCCAAGACTTTTTGGGCCTACCTATACCCCTTCCGCTACCCACCGAGGCTAACCGCTAGAACCTTCTAGCTAGGGCTTAAATAATAAGACCTAATGACTTAAAAATGCTTTACAAAAGCTATTAGTGTATATAACTTTTCAAATCATTACTTGATTGGCATATATTAAGAATTGTTGGGTACTCTAAAGAATAATGATATTGTAGGAAGATTCGAGAAGTGATATCAGCTAAAACCGAAAAGGGTTTATGTAACGATTCAACTAGTCATTTTGAGCTCTAGCGTGTCGTTTAGCGGTTTGAACCCTTGAGTATATTATGATTTCCGCGTGTGGTTAGTTTCGATTTTTGAGGAGTTCGGAGTTGATATGGAAGAATAATTCTCAATTCGGAAGCTTTAAGTTGGAAGAGTTGACCAAGGTATGAATTTTGAGTAAACGACCCCGAAATCGGGATTTAAAGGTTCCAATATATTTGTATAATATTTTTGGACTTGAGCGTATGTTCAGATCGAGTTTCGAGTAGACCGAGAGCGTTCCAGCATTTAATGAGTAATGTTTGCATTTTGAATGTTTTAGAATTTCCTAAGTTTGACTCGATGTTGACTCTGGTGTTATCGATGTCCGTTTGGGATTTTGAGCCTTGAAATAGATTCGTATTGTGATTTGTGACTTGTATGTAAAATTTGATGTCATTATGGAATGTTTAAGTGTGATTCGGACGTGTTCGTCAAAGTTTGAATGTTTGAAAGTTAAAAGAAGGATTTCGATCGTTGATTCATAATTTTGATGTTATTCATGGCGTTAGAGCCTTTGGATAACTTTGGATAAGGTATTGAAACTTGTTGGTATGATTGGTAGGGTCCTAGGGCCTCGGGTGTGTTTCGGGATAGTTTTAGGCCAAGTTTGGATGTTCTGATGGTGCTGGTTTCTAGTTCTATTCTTCGTGAACACGAAGTGATGCTCACTGATCCTGTAGGGTCTTTCCCAATTTGGCTCGATCTTTCCCACATTCGGTTCTTGAGATGCCACACATATGCTTCGAAACACATAGTCACCTATTTTGAAACGCTGAACATTGACTTTCTTATCATAATACTTCTCGATCATTTGTTTTTGCACAATCATTCGAACTAGAGCCATCTCCCTTCGTCCTTCCACTAAGTCCAAGCTACGACCTTCCAAATACATTAGCCTACCTCGTCACCATAAAACCTCAAATCCTTGGCCAAATTTCACGGGGCATTACATCCTCCCCCGTTTACGATCATTCGTCCTCGAATGAGGGTCAAAGTCTGCCATAGATACACGCCAGATGTTCCAAATTTGACTGACTCCCCAAATTTTCAAAAAATTCAGCAGAGTCTCCCCTGTATTTGGGCCTATCCAACAGAAAGCTCCAGAAACCAATCCTAATAACATATTCATAACACATCGACGTATCATTACATGAAAACAACTCCAACCATAACATCATAGGCATTATATTATCAAAAAGGGTTGTTAGAGTAAACTATACAAGTGAAGCATAATTCTTAGAAATAAAACTCCTAATTTTCTTTTAAAACACAACAATATGGTTACACAAACAAGTGAGGGTATTTCTTCTTCACCTCTTCCTCGGCCTCCCAGGTGACCTCTTCAATTTGTTGGTTTCGCCATAGCACTTTCATGGAGGCAATCTCTTTATTCCTCAACTTTCGAACTTGTCTATCAAGAATTGCAATTGGAATCTCTTCATAGGTCAATTCTTCATTAACTTCAATAGTCTTTACTAGAACAATGAGCGACGAGTCTCCAACTACATTCTTCAACATGGACACATGAAACATTGGGTGCACTAAAGACATCTCCGAAGGTAACTGCAGCTTATAGGCCACTTGGCTAACCTTCTCAAGATTCTGTATGACCCGATATACATTGCACTCAATTTCCCTTTCTTCACAAATTGCATTATACCCTTCATGGGAGAAACCTTCAAGAATATCCAATCATCCTCTTTGAACTCCAAATCTCTGCGACGCACATCCGAATAGGACTTCTGGCAACTCTTAGCAGTTTTCAGCCGTTCCTTTAATGATCTTAACCTTCTCCATAGCCTGATGCACGAGGTTCGACCTTATGAATTCTGCTTCCCTAACCTTGAACCAACCAATGAGAGATCTACATCTCCTACCATATAAAGCTTCAAAGGACGCCATTTGGATGCTGACGTGGTAGATGTTGTTATAAGCAAATTCTATCAAGGGCAAGTGATCATCCCACTACCCTTGAAGTCAAGAACATAAGCGCGTAACATATCTTTAAGCATCTGAATAGTTTGCCGTGCCTGCCCGTTGGTCCGTGGATGAAACGTTGTACTAAGATTTATGTGAGTACCCAACCCTTGCTGAAATTTCTACCAGACATTAGTGGCGAAATGCGCCCTTTGATATGAGATAATAGAAATAGAAGTGTCGTGCAACTTGCTATTTCCTTGATATACAACTGAGCATAATGTTTTGCTATGTTTGTAGCCTTGACAAGTAAGAAGTGTGCTAATTTCATGAGTCGATCCACAATAACCCAAATCAAGTAAAACTTATGAGATGTGTGAGGTAGACTTACCACAAAGTCCATATTGATCATCTCCCACTTCCACATTGGAATCTCTATATTCTGCGCCAACCCGCCGGGCGTTTGGTTCTCGGCCTTAACTTGATAACAGTTTAGACATCTTGCCACAAAGTCCGCTACATCCCTCTTCATGTTATTCCACCAGTAGACCTCCTTGAGGTCATGATACATATTTGTAGAGCCTGGGTGCACGAAATACTTGGAGCTGTGAGCCTCGGTCATGATTCTCTCCCGGAGACCATCTATATTCGGAACACACAATCGTCCTGGTACCTTAGCGTACCATCATTCTTGCCAAGAGAAAAATCCATGGTTTTATGTTTATGAATCCCCTCTTTCAACTGCACCAATAACGGATCATTATATTATTTCTCCTTGACTTCCACTACGAGTGATGACTCAGCCTTATTTTGCACAATCCCACCTTTGCTAGAGTCCATATGTTGAACACGCAAAATATCCAACTAGTGAACTTCCTTCGCCAACGACCATAAGTGAGCCAAACTACCCATGGATTTCCGGCTAAAACATCCGCCATAACATTAGCCCTGAATGATATAAAATATCAATGTCGTAGTCCTTGAGTAACTCAAGACATCTCATTTGCCTTAGATTCAACTCGTTCTGCTTGAAAATGTATTGAAGACTCTTATGGCCCGTCAATATGTCCACATGGACCCCATACAAATAATGACGCCAAATCTTTGATGCAAACACCACTGCCGAAATCTCTAAGTCATATGTTGGATAATTTTTTTCATGGTTCTTGAGTTG